ATTTCTAATTTTAATTTGTGGTTATAAATTATTTCCTTGATTGTTTGATGCATTTTCTATAAAATGAGGAACTTGATCTTCAAAATTATTTCTTTATTGGTTTCTTGGCATGGGTTGGTTATGCATAATGAAATATTTTCTACTTTGAAATTTACTGATTATAGAGGGCATAACATATGTTATGGATGCAATATGGTTTCGTGAATGGAAGTAATTTATGTATTCTACGTAATTTGAGCTGCAGTTCTTGATTGCCTAGACCTTCCCAAGAAGAAGACTGCAGATTTTCATTTTTTCCTTTTAGTTTTTTGTCCGTTTCTGCTAGGAGATTGAGTTGGAAGAGTTCTTCAATAAAACCAAACCAGAAATTTGCTGAAGTTTTGAACTTCCAGTGAATCATATGATGAGACTTAGTTCCTCATCTAAAATAACTGATGCCCACTATTCTAGTCTAAGTTTTAGAGGACCTATCTGGGATTGTTTGGAAAATTTTTGTTATATTGACCTCTTTGCTGTTGATTCAGATTACCATTTTTTTCAAGCATGGTCGAGTGTCTAGAGGTAGTTGGTGGAAGAATATGGTTTGGGTTGACAGATAATAGACAAGCTAAGTAGTCCCATATGAAAAAGAATCGTACAGAAAGTTGAGTATATGGAGTGAGGCCCTAGCACAGTGAGTTCATAAAATTTTGGTTTTTAGGATTTTGCCATGGGGACTGCTTCAGATTCTGAATTTCCACTTTTGCATTTGTCATATCAGGGCTTCTACCACTACACCAGCTAACAACTCCTTCAAAAATATTTTCTTTGCTCGAGAATTTCAATAGTCTGTCTTATGGTCTCATACACCAGTATTATGGATTAGAAATTTTCTAAGTTATTATCATGATACTAACTTCCTGTATCTTTTACTAGAGGTTTTTTCTATGTTTTTGAATCTTGTCTTATATATACTAAGTCTTGTTTTTTATTCTGCAAGTTCTTTTGTGCACAAATCTCTGACAACATATTTTCTTCACCTTTCCAATTCTCTTATTAAATCTTAGATTGTTATGTATTTTTTTCATTAACTTCCAATTCTAATTCTGAACCAGGGTCAAAAGTATATTAGTTCAAAGAATTTACAATCTGAAATTAAGTATATGTTTTCCTCAGCTTCCAAATATATATCTGGTTACATTGGTAGAAATAATTTCTGTTTGATAACTTTGTAATGTAAGGAGAAGCTGCAATCCAAATGTCTCTGAGGACCTTGCTCTTTCAACACTGTTCTAGTTAAGTTTGTAACCTATGAGTAACAAAGGTGGTACACTGCATCTAACTTAGTGTTGATTCTATCGAAGCAAATGGGATCTGAATTTTTGTGAAAATTGAAAAGGATCTCTGCTTTTAGTTTAACTTATGTCTTTACATACCATTTAAATTGATTTTATGTAGAGGAAGTGGACAAAATGTTCAGGAAATAGAATCAGCAGAAGAGCCAGAACTATATATTTGTTGATAGTTAAAAGGAAGCTTTTTAAGCTGTCTTTTAATAAAAATAGGTTAGATAACAGATAATAGTTTTTGATGGTTCACTTATAGTTTGGATAATATGCTTGATTTTCATGGAATTTATGTTATTGCTGCATGAAATGAAGTTATTGATGATTGCACTTCACATAAGAAAATTTAACTTTTGACAAGTAAATAAAATATATGACTCCAGAGACTATTAGATTGTTTTTATGGAGAGCTTCTTTTGCAGTCTGCAACTATTTTTAGGGCTGTGTTTGCAGCAACTATGTGCAATTTTAGTGTAACTCTCAATGTTTGGGGGAAGGGGGTTTGTGGTTGTTCAGTTGCGTATCAGGATTTGATTACTCTCGAGAACCACAAAGTCCAGTTCTGTTTCATTTTGAGAGTTACTGAGGAACCATCTTCCACAGTCTCTAGCATGTCCACATCGTTCTTCAAAGACTGATGGTTTGAATTAGTTTATGGCAATGAGCTATGCAATAGTGAGAAGAGATGGTAAGTGCAGATTTTGAGTCTAGACTTGGTGTACATATTAATTTTAACAATAAAAGCCATTTTAATGTTTCAGGATCCCTTGAAGAATGGTGTCCTGACAGTTCAAACAATACGCAACAATATTATGGCATCTACCCTCTTGGCAACGACTGCAATCACTCTTAGTTCATTGATCAGTGTTTTTGTGAGCAGCAGCGCCACAGACTCTGGAACTGAATTAGTTTATGGCAGTAAAAAACCTTTTATCTCTTCAATCAAGTATTTTTCAATCTTGTTGTGTTTCCTATTTGCCTTTCTTTGCAATGTGCAATCTATTAGATACTATGCCCATGTAAGTTTCTTGGCCACTGTTCCTACTTCGAAAGGCAATAGGGATTCTATTGAGTACGTGGCTAGAAACTTGAATAGAGGGAGCTTCTTTTGGTCACTTGGACTACGAGCTTTCTACTTGTCATTCCCTGTCTTCCTTTGGACCTTCGGACCTGTACCTATGTTTCTCTGCTGCTGCGTAATGTCATTCGTTCTCTATTTCTTGGACACTACAAGCAGCTTTACCCGGCATCTTCATAATCATTCATTCAGAGAGGAAAGGAAACCTGATGATATGGAATCGATTGGTCAAACTAAGTACGTGATACTGAGAAAACTAAATTGTATCTTGTTATGGTTGCTTTAGCCAGAATGGTTCCTCTGAATGATCTTGTTTTTCATTACCAGGGAGAAAAATTGGTCCAGCGAATCCAACATTTGTTGCCCTTTACTTGCACACAATGATTTGCCTTCCTCCACATCTTCGGGATAGTTATGTGGTTTTGGGCTGATAATGGGTTCTGCTATCAGAAAATCTTGGGCAAGATGGAAAAAGATATCTATTTTCAGGTTCTTTTTTTTTTTCAGTATATATATCTCTTCATTCTCAGTCAGCAAACAGTTGTTGGGCTTCTGAGAAACTTTGAAGTGTCTTGCTTGGCAGAATGCTCTCTTTTATGAATATGGACATCAGACAAAGTTCCAAAGGTCCAACTTCCCTTACTCTATCATCTTTCCTTGTATACTTCTTTTGTGTAATCGTAGCATCCACAACACAAGGACCTTGACACAGCTACATGTTATAGGTCTTGCTTTATCTCTAAATTAGTTTATTTCCTAAGCTCTACAAGTTCAAATATTAGATCCCTCCGGAATGTTTCATTGGTCGAAAGCTTGAGCTTCTAAAGGTTTTAAGTTCAAACCTTACAGTTCTTGGATAGGTGGGTGAGGAATTGGTTCAATGTCATATTTGGTCGCTCAACTTCTTAGTTTGTTCTTATTTAGATCCTTCAACTTTTTTGGGTACCTAAATAGTCTTTCAAACAAGTTGAAGGATCAAATAGGCATTAAACTTTAAACCAAACATATCAATCAAGGTAGTGCCAATTGATGTCGATACTTGATAGTTTTAAACCAGGGGAAGGATTCAGCCGGAAAATTAGACTTAGATGCCATACATCAATATGATGGCACAAAGTCTTTTAAGTGAGTCCATAAATGGTTATTTTACATCAAAAAACGGCCATTGGAGACATATTCCATCACATTGCTTCGTAAAGTATGGGAACGCAAGATTATCCTTAATAGTGCTGAATGAGATTTAGTGAACTTTTAGTGGACATAAAATATTGCCAAATTCATGAAAAGCCTCATGTCTTTCCTCATATCTTTGATTAGCATTTTTTTCGACCATTTACATTGAAGAAGACCATAATTTTGACCGGCTCTAGAATACTTTTTATTATATTCGATAATGGACTATACAATGTATAACCATTATCTTTTACCACATCTTTTCACAATTTATTTAAAAATTTAAATTTAAAATCTCTAATTCAAAGTTTTTTTAAAATTTTTACTATTTAAAATACTATTCGAACGCAAACTTTAGAAACTACTTAATATGAAGTTGGCATTGTTGAAATAAAAAAAATGATCATTTGACCACATTTATTGAGAATAAACCTTCACAACATAAAACTTGATAATAATTTTTATTATCTTATGACGTGAGTCAATATACATCAACTTGTTTAATAATATATGACCTTGTTAACAAATATTATCAACGAATTTTACCATTCACGTCAATGTTTTCATCATATGGTACCTAGTACCCTTCCTTCCAAAAAGTAGACTAGTCTTCTCCCTACTTATATATGGATACTGATAAAAGGGGTAAAAATTTCAAGACCAATGATTGGTGTAAACTATGTTATTTAAAATATTAAAAAATAAATATTATATTATTTAATAATTAATTTATTTTATTTTATTAAAATATGTGATATTATATACATCTCATTTAATAACATATAATTTATACTACATTATTGATCTCAAATTTGGAACCATCATTTTTGTTCTTTATGTCACTACTCCTTTCATATCCTTTGTACTTTTTCTTTTTTCATTTTTTCTTTAAATAACTGAGGGGGAGAGAGTAATAAGGTTACAAGTGTACGGTGGAATTCGAACCCCACTCCCCGGCGCTAATCCACTGGAGCAAAGTGGATGTTGCCACTTGCTGTCTCATGTGGTTGGCATCCTTTGTACTTATGATAACATCAACTAAATACATTTACTTGGAATCGAAAGTTAATATGGAAATGCCTTCTCTCCCCCAATGTATTATTATTATTATTATTATTATTATTATTATTATTATTATTATTATTTAAAAAAATTCACACATAGTATTTTCTTATCTTATAATAAAATCTTATAATTTTTTTTATTATTTTAAGTAGTAAAATAAGAAGCTATCATATATTATTTTGTTACCCACTCCTCCAACAATTTTACAATGAAAATCTAAATCTTTTACTCTACTTGAAGTAGAGAAATTATTACCTTATTACTTAATGTTTACAATTAAAAGTAACAATAATTATAATTAATATTTTTCTCCTTAATATGACACATAAATTAATACATGTTCAACTCATTTGATATTATGTGCAACCATTATAAGGGAATATTGTGTATAAATCAACAATATTTTGAGAATCCAAACATCAAGTTGACATGCATTCAAAGTGTCTTGTCAGGCATGGATAAATAAATGAAGAGAATGGAAGAAATAAACAGGACTACTAATGCATCTTAAGCCTCCAAATTATAGATCAATGTCCGATATAT